GAGAGCCATTTGTACTTACCTCTTGTAATACTCCTTGGTGAACATCTATTGTGGATTGGGCAGACGTGGGTTGCCCCGCAGACGTAGGAGAAGCACTCCGAATGGCGTAACAATTCTCTTGTGTTATTTTTTTATTTTATGCTTTCAATTTTCGTTATTTACATTTGATTAACAAATCTAATTAATGAACGAGATTGTTGCATAACATAAAATCAAGTAGAAATATAAGTTACATCTTGCATTCAAGATTCACGTTGCAATTTCATATAACAATTTTAAATGCATTCGAGGGCCACAATTTTAAATGCATTCGAGGGCCACAATAACCCAAAATGTCTCCATTATTGACTACAAGGTGGGACCCATATTTCAAAAAAAGTCATCCAAAAATGATATAGCTATGAAAAAAACCACCGTCGGACAAAGATTAAATCTTAAAAATTCATTTTCAAATTAATTTTATCTAATATATAAATACACTCAACTACACAAAGCATTTTCTACTAAAAACTGCCATTAAAAAAAGTTTCTCCTATCAAATATCAAAATTGTATATTACACTAAAAATTGCCATTAAAAAAAGTTTCTCCTACCAAACATCAAAATTGTATATTACACTGCTATAAGAAAGTGTACATCTATTACCTAGACCAATGTTATTTGCGATTTGTGAACACCTCTTCTATCACTTTCTTCTTCCGTCATCGTCGTCGATGGAGTCTACGAACAGATCTTTTTGGTGTCTTAGGGTCCATACAAACAGAGCTTTTGGATTCTTCAAAGGTATCTACTAACAAAGCTTTTAGAGTGGTCAATGGTGTCTACTAACAACAGTATTGAAGTCACAAATGGAAGATGGAAGAATTGCAATAGAGTCTACGTACATGTGGGCGGAATTGGAATTTGGGATTGGGGATTAGTTTAGGGTTTTATTTATTTATTATAATTATTTAGCTTTAGTTTTAATAATAATATATAATAAATATATTTTAATTGTAGTCCACGTGGTTTGAGGTAGTCTTTTTTTTTTTTTTTTTTTTTTTTTTGTTTTTGTCCACGTGGTTGCTTATGTTAGCATTAACCGGAAGGTTACAAGTAAAATGAGAGAATTGCACTAATTTGACAAGTTGAATGGTTCAATTGGAACTTTTTATAGATTGATGGTCTAATTGTTGTTTTGGTTATACTTTGAGGGCGTATTTGACCCTTATCCGTATTAATAATGTTACAATTATAGAGAAAGATTCCGTAGTTAATAATAGTTGAACATCAAAAACATCAATTCAAACAAAATTGGAATAAGCATAAGTCAGTAATAATAATTCAACATAATAGTTAATATAGTTAATACAAGTAATAATACTCTAGCAATGACGCCTAGCTGCAATCAAACTAAATGCAATATTATCGCCAATAATTGTCATTTCTCGGGTTCTCATATTATCATCACCTGGTACAAAGTTAGCTTCAACATCTTGAAAAATATCTGGGTATGAACTCTGAATCTTGATCAATGAATCTAAAACCTGGTTCACCAATTGTGTTTTTACTTATGTAGTTGTGCAATGCAAAACATGAGCAAATAAGTATGTTTTGATCCATTAATGAGTATATCGACATTTTTTGCAATATCTTCCACCGAGCATTAAGAACACCAAAAGCCCTCTTAATGCAACTTCTTAAAGATGAATGATCTTGATTAAATACTTCTTGAGATCCCCTTGGGTTTGCTACATGAAACTATGATTGATGGTATCTATTTCTTTATGGGAAGTCTTTATCGAGCAAGTAATACTTCCCTAAAAGTATCTAAAAAGTTTAAATTATAAGTATATTTAACCATAATAGTAATTAATGAAACAAACTTTTTAAAGTACCTGGGGGTGGTTTAGGGAATTTGAAACTTGGATTACTAATCGTGTCAAGAAAAATACGAGTATCATGTGCAGATCCCTCACATCCTGTTAAAACATATGTGAATAACATATCAAAGTCACATGATGCTACGGCATTGGTAGTTGAAATCCCTTTCCTTCCTCTATATCTCGTTTGACCTTCCTCTTACAGTTATTGCAATATGTGTGCCATCAATAGCTCCAAATTCGCGCAGTTCTACTTTAAGGGAAAAAAGTGGCATATATTAATATTCACATATTGATGTAACAAATATATAGATAAGAATGAGATGAACAACATATTAATTCACTTACCTTAAAATGTGGCATATATCCATTATCATTAGCAATTTGTGGCGGGATCTCCTTGAACTCATGATCTTTTGGTACAAGCATATCTCTTGAGAATTCATCCATGTAATTCAACACTTCTTTAATAATTCTACTCGCAGTTTAACCGGAATGTTAAAAGCGTTCTTGAGTATCTCTATTAGAAGCACCCTTACTAAGCACATATACAAATATACCAAGTTTCTCTAAAGTTGAGATCCTATTTGAAGCCCTCAAACCATACTTGGTTTCTAAATCTACACATAAATGACGAAATGCAATTGGGTTCATTCTAAATAAATTAAAACACTGTTTCTCATGACCATTCATGAATTCATTCATCCATCTTTCTCCAGTTAAATATGAAGTCATGCATGGTTCCTTGTAAACATGTTTCAAAAAGTGAACACACATATACCCAGCCATAAAAGTCACCAAATTTCAAAATTCATCCTCGTTGTCCAAGTACTCCTTAATTATGAGAAGTTTCCTAATTTGCTCAGTATTATCCATGTCTTGTTGCCTAAACACAAATTAGTATATTTACTATAAAATTCTCATTCATGTTTTTAAAAACCATAAATAAATTACATAACATTTCCTACAATAAGAATTCATAATAGTTCATTAAATAAGAAATTACATAAGAGTTCATAATAGTTCATTAAATAAGAAATTAAATAAGAGTTCATAATAGTTCATTAAATAAGAAATTACATAAGAGTTCATAACAGTAAATTACATAACATTTCCTACAATAAGAATTCATAATAGTTCATTAAATAAGAAATTACATAAGAGTTCATAACAATAAATTATATAACATTTCCTACAATAAGAGTTCATAATAGTTCATACAATAATAAATTACATAAAAGTTCATAGATATCCACTACTGAAGCAAAAAATACATAACAATTTATGCATAACAATTCGTGCTTGTTTTCTTTTTCATATAAGAACTTGATGTAGTCAACTCTCACCTTATCATCTGGTAATCCAAAGATAACATATCTTTTTTTTGGATCTTCACTTAGCGTGCAAGCAAAGAAAAATTCAGGAGTGCTGAATTCCAAACTGGGCAAAACATAAAATTTTGCCAATGCATTCGTAATTTCATTAGGACTTGAGTTTTTCATTGAAGTCAAAATATCCATAAGTGACATATTCACCTCTTTAGATACATTGCTTCTTTATCAATAATTTGTAACACACTATCAAGTTTCTCACTCAATGTTGCAGCCACTCCTTTTTTTAGTGGTTTCAGTCCTCGCACTCTTACTACTTTGTGAAGAATTAATCTCTAACACCCTCTTACCTCTATTTTTTCACTCCTCTCAAATTGTGTATCTTAAGGGGTAGTCGTGTAGGTATACACTTTGTCCACACATCATCACATGTATTATAACCACTATCATCACCAAGAGTCATCCATGTTACCAAGATCAACATACACTTCATCACTTTCATGTTGCAAATGTCCTTGCGGGGATATTAGACTAAATTTAAGTGCTCCTTGAGCATAACAACAAAAAATTTTGTCCATCTTAGTTTCTAGTTCAAATTCAAACCCTTCTTCCCGAAAAGCCTTAAACTTTGAATTTTCCTTTTAAGTTTCAAATCTTACCACTCATTAGTAGCACTAGTAGTTCGTTTTTCATGATCCCATCCTAATCCGATCTCTCTTCCTTTGAGTTGTTTCCACAAACCCCATCTAGTTCTCATTCAATCTACTTTGTTTTTTAGTTTCATTTTATCCTATTTAAGGTTTGTATTTTTTTTGAAATTCTGCTTAGATCTTCTTCCACAGTAACCTTTGAGAGGTTACTCCACTGCTTTTTCCTTTACTTTTTTTTTCAACATATTATTGTATACAAAGATCACAAAGAAGGTGAAGTTGTTCTTTTGATCAACTAACCCTGTCTGAATCATTACCACGTTGGTTTTCGTATTTCTTCTCACTTTTACCTTCATGTACATTTTTTTCCGACTCGGTGCCATCAACGTAACATAATGATACATTAGTGTTAACTCATGAAATTTCATACTGCTTCAGGATATGAGATAAATGGTAATATGAATCACAAAACTCTAACAATACCCAAAAGGACAGACTTAACATTTGGTAAAAGAAATTAAGAATCACAGGTGAAAAAAACTTTCAGTTTCCTCAGTGAGGCAGTGTGAAAAGACACCTCAAAAGATATCAAAGACAAATGAATATCACAAGTTATATACAGAGATCCATGTATTGAATGATTTTTTAAGAAGAGAAAAACATTACCTTGTTATAAGTTATGAACAAACTTCCAAAAACACAATTCTGATATTTTCACTAACAACACCCAAAAGCTACACTAGTACAGAAACAATCATCCGCGTTCAAAGTTAAGGCTAATACGCGTTCAAAGTTGCTTGGACACGTATGTGGGAGACGCTGATTGTATAAACAATCAGCGTCCAAAGTAACTTTGGACGCGCAAAACTAAAATTCGCGTCCAAAGTTCACGAATTTTGGACGCGAATTGTAGTGTTTTTTTTAAAAAAAAAATACCTTTGCGCGTCCAAAGTTCGTGAACTTTGGACACGCAAAGGTATTTTTTTTAAAAAACTACAATTGGCGTCCAAAGTTTGTGAACTTTGGACGCGAATTATAAAAAAACTTCAATACATACATCAATACATCATTACCAACACTTAAGCACTAAATTAAACTTCAATACATTCAATTCACAACATACTTCAACACTTCAAAGTTTTCAACACATGCATATGTAAACTAAACTTCAACACTTTAGCACTTTAATCCATACATTCACAACAATATCAACATGCACTTCAAAGTTCTCAACACTTGAAATTAAAGTTCGCAACACATACATGTAATAAGCTAGCTAAGTACCAACAATACATCATTAAAATTAACTAAATAAGAGTTCAAAAATTTATATACATTCTTCAACAAAATATTTAGACCAAACCTCATGAATCTCATCAATTTGCTCTTGTGAGTAAGGCTTTCTATCAAATGCCTACAAAAATTTAAAATAATCAAATAATTAATTTTGACATTAATAAAGTGTAATTTAAAACTATTTAGTTTTAATAAATTTTACATACCGTGTCTAAAAGTTCAAAATCACAATATAGAGTGCATATTTCATACATGTATCTCATCACATAATACCCGCACTCCACAGAACCCGGTTGTTGAGGACACTACAAAATATGAGTTTTTATGTATATATATTATTAAGTTAAACAAAAAAAAAAAACATTACTAAAAAAATGTAAAAAAATATTAATACTCTAATTTTGATATATACCTCAATTGGATTCCAATCAACGTTGTTTTTAGGTCTTCTTCCTCCTAAATTTGCAATCGATCAAAATGCCCTAAAATATAAACTCATAAATAATTTATAAATAATATATATATATATATATATATATGTATGTGTGTGTGTGTGTGTGTGTGTGTGTGTGTGTGTGTGTGTGTGTGTGTGTGTGTGTGTGTGTGTGTGTGTGTGTGTGTGTGTGTGTGTGTGTGCGCGTGCGCGCACACTTTCAATGTGGCCTTAATCTTCAACTCGCGCCTACATGCACGGGAGTCTAATACATAAGACTTTTCTTGATTGAACACAAATATCTAGAAGCATCCAATGATTTCTACGGCATTTATATAAATATGTTAAACATTATTCACAAATAATTCAATTAAGTTATATAAATAATTAAAAATATAAATTTAGTTTTCTTACTCTTGATGGTATGGAGCTAAAATGAAGTTTCGATCCTTCTGTTGATCCAGGGCACGAACAAGATATTTTGTGACCTTATCAGTATTCTCAACTACACGGTTCCTAGAAATAGTCCTTGGGCAGAGAAATCCAATTGTAGTAACTCTAATTTTTCCGCACATCCGATGAATACATCTACAACGTATATTGATAATTAATAAAAATGAAAGACTAAAGAAAAGTTTTTAAATATAAAAACATTATAAGAAATACTTACATTATAAATATTTGTAATATGGTCACATCAAGCCATTGCATCATCAACATTTCTTTAACATCATCAAACATCACGTGAATGAACTCCACATCGATCTACATGATGGAAGATTGCCTCCTCTAGGTCCACGTCAATGTAATCTAAATCGGATGGCAAGTTTCTAAGATGTCTGACCAATTGTTTGCATTCATCCAATTGCTGCAGTGTATCATCATCAACAAGAAGTGGTTGTAATTCTACAGTAGATTGATCACCACTTTCAAAATGCATCATTCTTGTTTGTTTTGGATTTTCCTATGAATCAAAAATTTTAAGACTTAATAACAAGTAGAATGTCAGATATTCAAAATATTAAAGATATTCAATATTACCTTAAGCTTGTTTAATCGATCAATAGAATGGCAATTGGCAACTGCTTCGAGATGGTGTGCCAACCTTTGGACTTGCTTGTGCATTCTTCATCAAATATTCTAGTTGAGATTGCATCGTTTCAAACTTGGATTGCATATCATCCATTGTTTGTTTTTTAATCTTTTCAGCCACTTTGTCATATAGTTTCTTCTCTATGATCTTCTCCATATCACTAACTGAAACAACCCCAGCTGAATTTCCAAGACTTATGCTCTACGGTTTACCAAACACATCCTGAATATTGGAGTGCACTCCAACACCTCTCACAAAACCACCGTACTCATTGATGCCAAGAGCGCAGCTGCTGTCAATATACCATTTTGCCTTTTTGGTTGGAATGAGCCTTAACTTATCTCTTCATACTTCTCGACCTATTTCAACATAAACAAGATTTAAAATTTACATGTTAGCTAGCATTCTCATCAATAATATATATGTTTAAAATACTTGTATTACTTACAGTTTTATCAACCACTCCCTTCGTTTTTTCATTGGGAATGTAATAACTTCCATCTTCAGATTTTTTAGATCGCGCTCGAACCCAATCCAAACTACGAACAGTTGACAGTAGATGTTATGGTCGAGGTAATAGCAGCACAAGAAGATTGTGAAGACAATGGGTCGCATATCAACCACTCAGATTCGCTTCCAACATAGCCCCTAGACCCTAAATAGTGGGGATGCTCATTTCGCGCTTGCAACTCCCTATACTTTTGACTTTTGGCCTAAAAATAAAATTTATTATTAAATAATATGTTAATAATAATAAAACATTAAGTCCACGTCAATAAAACATTATTATTATTAAGCAAGTAAATTATGTAGTGTACCTTAGAGGCTTCAGTTTCATGGTATTTTACAAATTTCTCCCATTGTTCTTCAGTCAAGAAGTCATATAACTCACAGGGAGAGCTATATTTTGGGTTCTTTTTGTTGATGAATTCACGCACCAATCTTGTCTTGAAATCTTTCCAACGTATCCACGTATGGTCCAAAATATTATTTCTTTCTTTATCAGAGATATTAAACTCTTTCTGAATAACAACAATAAAATAACAAATAATTAGACCTTTATTGACATTAACATATATAAACTAATGAACCCAAAACCGTTTAAATAATGATCAATATATAAATTAAATTATTGACTATTACCTTAAGATCCTGCCAAACCGTTTCTTTAACCCCGCTAGAGACTTGACGCCATTCAGCAATGTTAATGTTTATGTGAATACGAACCATAAAGCCAAGGTAATTTGCATACTTCCTTGCATTTGGGCCAATAGGCCTATGCATGTCATCGAACTCAATTAACATAGACTCATCCTCTGGTTTCTTCTTTTTCATTTTACTGCAATTTGTAGCTCCTCTTGCTTTACGCACTTTTCTCTCTGTCGGCCATGAATTTGTATATATATACATGCACATGCATAAGATAAATATGGTATAAAGAACATCTTATAAAATATAAACATGTTATAAAAAATAATAAGATTACATTTTAGAAATTATATTGTCGGATGGTCAATCCACAACCCTTCTTCATGATCAGTACGCATGTAATTAGTATCAATGTTATCTTCACATAAAGCCACAGGTTGAATACCAATAGAAAATGGTGGGATTTCATCAAATTGGTCATATTCCTCTTCATCCATAACATCACCAACACCAACAATACTTATTTTGCCTTGTAAGACAATTGACCACTTACGATCAATAAGATCAGAAACATAGAAGACTTGTTTAGCTTGAGATGCAAGTATAAACAGTTCATCATGATATCCTAGCCGACCAAAATCATCTACACGGACACCCCGTCTATTATCAACCCAAGAACATCGAAATAGAGGAATGCTAAACACCTTATAATCAAGTTCCCAGATTTCATCAATGACTCCATAGTATGACATAGTAGCATCTACAACGTTAGTATCTTTAGCACTAGAATACTCTCTTGATACTTGATAGTGCTACTAATGTCACTCCACTATTTTGCAACATACTTTTTTTATCTTGACGTTTTGTGTAAAACGTACACCCATTAATATCATATCCCTCTTAAGTTCTCACAACTAACCAGGGCCATACGCTAACCACCTAATGGTTTCACTGATATTATTTAGCACTTGAGATAACTCTTACATCACTGTATCTTTGAACCATGTGATAAATTTACAATTGTGTTCTTTTGTCACCCACATTTCACCCTTAGAAGGATTTTGTTGCCTTATAATAGACATGTGTTGTTCCAAATATGGATGAACCTCAGAAAGCTGCTGTAGTACAAGATAATGTGCTTGATTTCGGATTATTTGACTTGGGGCATGTGTTTTAAACCCAATGGTACCTTTTCCTGTGAGTCTTCCATCATGATGTGATTTAGAAACACCAATGGACTTAATATTAGCCAAATAATCAATACAGAAATCAATGACTTCTTCAGCGCCATAAGCTTCAATTATACTCCCTTCTAGCCAATATCGATTTCTCACATATCCTTTAAAAATGCCCATGTATCTCTCAAATGGATACATATACCTCAAGAATACAGGACCACACATTTTAATTTCCCACACCAAGTGAACTGTTAAATGCACCATAACATCAAAAAATGATGGGGGGAAATAAATTTCAAACTGGCATAAAGTTACTACAACATCAGCTTGCAAGGAATCCAACACCTCAGGATCAACAACTTTACTACTAATGGCGTTGAAAAAGTAGCAAAGCTTTGTAATGGCTTGTCTAAAATGGTTAGGTAATATGCCTCTAATAGCAATAGGTAACATATGTTGCATTAGCACATGGAAATCATGTGATTTCATACCAACCAATTTAAAGTCCTTCATTGAAACAAGCTTTTTAATTTTAGATGAATAGCTAGAAGGAACCTTGACACCATTTAGACAGCTACAACAACTTGTTTTTCCTTTTTTGATATAACAAGCTGGAGATAAGTACGCCTTCTTTCCAGATTCTTGTGGTGCTAATTGAGTTCTTATCCCCATTTCTACCATATTTTTTCTAGCTTTAATACCATCTTTCATCTTACCTTGAATATTCAACAATGTCCCGATAATGCTATCACAAATATTTTTCTCCACATTCATTACATCAAGACAATGTCGAACAAATAAGTGATCCCAATATGGCAAATCCCATAATATAGACATCTTTTTCCAAATATCTTTTTGACTTGTTTTTGAAGTTTTTTCCCACACATTATCAATGTTTTTGACTCGTTCATAAACAACATCCCCTGATAATGGTAAGCGAGCAACTCCCGTCTCAAATTTTCCATTGAAAGCTTTTTTCCTCTTTCGATAAGGATGGTTAATAGGTAAAAAGGTTTGGTGACTCATGAACACATTTTTCCTATTGTTGTTCAACCAATGATCAACTATTTCATCTTCATAAACAGGGCATGCCTTAGCCCCTTTAGTAGTATACCCTGACAAGTTACCATATGCTGGAAAGTCATTGATTGTGCAGAACAGCATGGCTCGTAAAGTGAAGTTGGTTTGACTATGAGCATCAAATACTGTCACACATTCATTCCACAACATCTTTAAATTTTCAATAAGCGGTGCCAAGTACACATCTATGTTGTTTCCTGGTTGTTTAGGACGAGATATTAGCAATGATAACATGATGTACTTGCGCTTCATACACAACCACAGAGGAAGATTGTAAACTGTTAAAAGAACTGGCCAAGTGCTATGGCGACTGCTCATGTTACCATGAGGATTCATTCCATCCGTGCATAGTCCAAGCTTAAGATTTCGGTTTTCAACACCGAATTCAAGAAACTTCCTATTAATGTTCTTCCATTGAGGAGAATCGGCAGGATGTCTCAACTTTCCATCTTCTTTTCTCCCACTAGCATGCAATTGCAAATTCTTCGCATCATTTGCATTTGCAAACAAACGTTTGAATCTTGGAATCACCGGTAGATACCACAACAACCTCACTGGAGGACCTTTCTTCTGCTCAAATGCATCATCGAGCCCTTTTCGTTTATAACGCGATGCTCCACACTTCGGACACACATGCAAGTCTTTGTATTCATTCCAATACAAAATACAGTCGTTTGGACGTGCATGGATCCTTTCAATCTCCATACCCAATGGACATAACATTTTCTTTGCCTGATAAGTTGAACAAGGAAGTTCATTCTCATCAAGTCAAGTCTTTAACTAAGTTTTTTTTTTTATTCTACTAAGAGCAGATGTGCAAAACACCAAAATTAAGTCTACTGTGCAAACTAAATATACTGTAGATAGGCACTGTTTAGCTCTCACTTGGTCTTGCACTCATTTTACTTCCAATTTTTTCTTCAATTGTGTATTTGTCAAGGGTTGGTCTTGCACTCATTTTACTTCCAATTTTTTCTTCAATTGTGTATTTGTCAAGGGTTCACTAATTGTTAAATCCTTCTCAGCTTAGCTACAACATAAGCAAACTGAACAACAAAGAGTAACATACGAATAGAATTTGATAAAAATATACAATAGGTCATTTATTGAAAGTTTTAGCTTCCTTATGTGGATGGCTAAATATTTGGATTGTACGTTCAGATTTTTGAAAGACTAAACAGACTACACTATTTTTCTTTCAGTGGGTCTTTGGCTAATAAGTTTAATGCAGTATTCCTCATAGATTTTTTTAATAGAACCCCAAAATAAAAAATGCCATTAGGAGAGAATAGAATATATATATATATATATCATACATGTTATCATACTGGAAAAGACCTAAACTGTACTATATATATTATTCACTAAGCCAAAATCTGTCTATAAATCTGTTTATATACATATACAATACCACACATTTTTATATACATATACAATACCACACAATTAATATTTATAACAAATTAATCAATTAAAAACAAATTTTAAAATAAATAAACAACAATAAAAATTCTAAAATAAATATAATAATTAAAATAAAAACTGATTTTCGAAAAAAAATTACGTACCTGCGGAAGCTCGATCGGCGTGGCTACGGCGGCGACGTTGGAGACCGGAGGCGACAGCGGCGGCGACGATGGAGACCAAAGGCGGTAGCGGCGGCGAGGATACCAGCTTTCGAAGAAGATGTCGACGAGCTTGGATCTCCGGTGCAGTGGCGGCAGCGGCGAGGACTCAGACGAGTGGCGGTGGCAGCGAGGAGGCCAGTGGCGGCGGCGACAAGGTGAGGAGGTGACGGCGAGAGATTTGCAATTTTGAGTGTGGAGTGCGTAGATCTGATGAAGACGAAGGGTTTGCAAATTTGAACACTAATATCCAAAGGTCTATACTTTGTACGCCTATTCATTTTAATTAACAAATAAATAAATAAATAAATAATTATATATAGTGGCATTTTAATTACAAAAATGTCACCGCATTACACATTTGGAGATCAAAGTTCGAACTTTGGACGCGAATTATTCAATTTTATTGATGTTTTTTGTACTAGTTCTAGTCACATACATAAAAACAAAAATAAAAACAAAAACAAAAAAAACGCTTTCAATTCAGAACCAAGATAAGACTATGTCATTATTGAAGCATCATACAAAACAGAAGTTTCCAGTTCCTCAACATGTGAGGTGATACACAAGGAGGTTGTACACAAAACTAAATTTGAATAATAAAATACATATCAGAAAGTAGACTTTATTTATAATGCTTCTTAATGGCTTTTAGAAACATCTACTATAATAATATCAATGACAAAAACCAGCAGAAAGTTTTAATCGCGAGAATTAGGAATGCCAACACAACATATTCTAATGGTTTCAATGCAGAGATAGAGATGTCAGTGCAACTAAGGTGAAAGACAAAGATCATAAAGTGCAAAGTAAATTTTACCTGAAAATATGTGTCAGGAGAAGCATGAGAGAAACAGTGAGAACCGGCTAGAGCAGTGGTGACAGGTGTGAGACGGTGGATCGGAGAAAGCAGTCGTGAAGGTGAGTACTTAGTAGAGGCAGTCGCAAGGTGAAAAGAGGCAAGCGCAAATGATAGAGGTGAAGGTGAATGAATTCATATTAGGGATTTACATGGATAGAACAGTCATTTTACAAATAATTTGCAACAAGATGATGAGAAACGTTGGTGTAAGCAACTTTTTATATTTTGGCTGATTGGGTCAATCAGCCAAGGCCAACAAGCCATTTACCAAACACTCCAAATCAGCTTATTTAGGGGTCAAACAACCAAATTGAGTAAAATTAGTCTTTTTTAGCTGATCAACCACTAACCAAACACTCCCGTTGAGAGTTACAAATAATTAAAGAGTGCAAAATGTTATGGAACTTAACTGTTTTATCCTCAAATATTTAAATTAAAAATTTGCAATGTAGTCATGCAAATGTTGAGAGTTACAACTTATTAAATAGTGAAGAATTCAATTGCTTCATCCTTAATTTTTTATATTAAAGATTCACAATGTAAATGTGGACAGCTACAACAAAATAAAATGTCTTGGAATAAAAAAGACCGGTGTGAGACGGTGGATCGGAGAAAGCAGTCGTGAAGGTGAGCACCTAGTAAAGGTAGTCGCAAGGTGAAAAGAGGCGGACGCAAATGATAGATGTGAAGGTGAATGAATCATATTAGGGATTTACATGGATAGAAAAGTCATTTTACAAATAATTTGCAACAAGCCGATGAGAAACGTTGGTGTAAGCAACTTTTTGTATTTTGGCTGATTGGGTCAATTAGCCAAGGCCAACAAGACAACAAGTCATTTACCAAACACTCCAAGTCAGCTTATTTATGGGTTAAACAGCCAAATTGTGTAAAATTAGCCATTTTTTAGCTGATCAGCCACTAACCAAACGCTCCCTTTTAGAGTTACAGTCACGATGGTGAGCACTTAGTAGAGGCGGATGGGAAGAGGGGTGAGCACTTAGTAGAGGCAGTCACGAGGTGAAAAGAGGCGGATGGGAAGAGGCAGACGCAAATGATAGAGGGGAAGGAATTTACATGGATAGAAAAGTTATTTTACAAATAATTTGCAACAAGCTGATGAGAAACATTGGTGTAAGCAATTTTTGTATTTTTTTGGCTGATTGGATCAATCAACCAAAAAAAAAATTAGGGCCAGAAATAATAATTATCAAAGAATTATGGACTAAAAAGAGTAATCTAGATAAAAGCTAAAGAATGAAAATATAAAAACAAGCAAGAACTATGAACGAAAATAATAATTATCTAAAAACTTAAGGATAAAAATTACAACTTTCTAAAAAATGAACTCTATGTTTTTTTTTTAGAAAATTACTACTTTGGTCCCTCAATTGTTTCGCTACTTTCAATTTAGTCCCTAACTTTTAATTTGAACTAATGTGATCCTCGGATTGTTTTAAATTTCATCAATTAAGTCCACTTGGCACTATTATGTCAATCATTCATTAGTTGTCATTATTTGAGAGGGCATTTTAGACTTTTCTCATTATCGCATTTTATCTCCTTCAACAGCAAGGAGACATAGCCTCTTAGATATCTCTGATGCTCAACTTCTCTATCCCAAGCTTCGTAAAGCCCGTGTCAACCGCCAACTTTCGGTCGCCGCTGTACACCTGAATGCACTCGCGCAAATATCTAGCAGAAATCATTTGCACGACAATGCTCCAGAGGTCATGGAATGCGTCCAACGGCATGAGGTCGATTTCTTGGAAGCTACTCGTAGATCAGTAGCTGTTGTTGCTCCTCTGGCTCTCCTTAAGCTCTAGCTCCTTGGTCAACGAGCTTTCTTCCTCAAAGTCAAAGCTCTTGAACTCTTGCTCTCCCAAGCTCATCTTGTTGCTGCTAGTCTTGGGGCTGTAAGCGACTCTAGAAGAGGAAGAGCTTGACTAAAGTAGCAATTCATCTTCGATTGGGCTGGTGTGAGCTATGAGGATGCTACAGAACTCGTCCTCAAGTCGAGCCATGGCAATCTGGATTGCGTTGTTAGCCATGCTCTAGTCATCCGACAGTGAGGCCAACTCCATAGAGTGTTGGATTTCATCGACGGCTTTAGTACAAGTCGATCTCCTGTCTCCGCCGAAGATCATCTTCTCTCTAGCATCTTTTGATGTCGTGGAGTCCCACTAGAGAATTATCTGCTCAACCGAGTTATACGCTACAACTTCGTTTTCATAATAAATGATGAAGGTGATATAAAAGAGGTAATGAAAAAGTCTAAAATGCCCTTTCAAATAATGGTTGATTAGCATAATAGTGTTAAGGGGACTTAATTGACGAAAATTAAAACAATTCTAGGATCACATTAGTTCAAATTAAAAATTAGGAACTAAATTGATAGTTGCAAAGCAATTGAGAAATCAAAATAATGATTTTCCCTCTTTTCTAAAGAAAAAATTTCCTCAATTTGTTTTTCTTCTTTTGGATGTTAAATGACAAACTACACCTCCACAGTACCACACACGCATTAGGAATTGTACTTTCTAACTGAAAAACCTGTCACCTCTCTCTGCGTTCTCTCTCCCGGCATAACGCAATCCCCAAAATTCCAAGAAAACAAAAAATTAAACAAAAAACGACAAACCAAAACCCTGATCCAAACCCGCCTTTTGAAGTTGTCAATGCCCGAAAGCTAACAATCCACAGGCCGGCCGGCCGGCGATCTATCTCCCTTCCTTCACTTTCTTCTTTCTTTTTAATTGCTGACATTTTGTTCTCCACTACTTCTTGCAGATTATGCAACCCGTTTCACACAAAGGGTTGCCACGCCATTATTCAACTACTTCACCCATTCTCAGGTTTTTTTTATTTATTGTTTTAATGTTTCAAAATTTGAAGGTTTCCTTCGGTCAGATGATGATGATAAGTATTTGAACCGTTCGTTTTACTAGGTCAAACGTTTGAAATTTGCCGGAGTGTGTCTGGATTGCTACTTTCTTGACGTTTTGTAGCTTACATTTGGAGTTGAGTGGGTCGAACTTGTAACTTCTCAGCCTAATTACTTATATTTTAGTTGCTGTTTCAAAACTCCAACAACCCTTTCTTGAGGAGAAAAATAAAATGGTTGATGGTTAAGTTGAGTTGTGATTTGTGAGTGAGAAGAGGGGCAGAGAGATTTGGGAGAGAGAGAGAGAGAGGAGAAGATTGAATAAATTTAGATGGGAAACATTTGTGTTCAAACTAAGAATGGGGTATTTCATTCGCTGTTTTGGTGGTATAGACCGGAAGGAGAGGTCATGGTTACTAAGAACAAAATATCAAGTGGTGATAATACCCTTTCAGCTGCTAAAGAGAGGGAAGATGCTGCCCTTCCAGCTCAGAAAAAGCCCCCAGAGGTGGTGAGGGTGGAGGAGAAAGATCTTCGTAAGCCAGATGTGATTGTGAAGGAGGAGAAGAAAGGCGTTGAGACCACAAAACGGGATGGTATGTTTGAGAAAGGAAATGCACAGCAGATGGTAAGGCCTGGAGAACTTATTTTGAAGACAGGAAATGGCCCGAAACCACATAGTGCCAAGAGAATGCTCAGTGCTGGGCTTAAGGTTGAATCTGTGTTGAGGACGAAAACCGGGCATTTGAAAGAATTTTATAATTTGGGAGAGAAAATTGGAAATGGCCAGTTCGGGACCACATTTCTCTGCACTGAGAAAACAACAGGGAAGGAATACGCTTGTAAATCTATTGCGAAAAGGAAATTGTTTACTCTGGAAGATGTGGATGACGTGAGGAGAGAAATCGAAATCATGCATCGCTTGTCCGGGCAACCTAATATTATTTCCATTAAAGGCTCTTATGAGGATGCCGTGGCGGTTCATGTTGTGATGGAACTATGCAAAGGGGGCGAGCTCTTTGATAGGATTGTCAAGAGGGGACATTACTCAGAACGAAAGGCAGCTGAGCTCACTAGGACAATAGTTGGTGTAATCGAAGCTTGTCATTCCTTGGGGGTCATGCATCGGGACCTTAAGCCAGAGAATTTCCTCTTCGTCGATGAAGAGGAAGATTCACCAATTAAGACTATTGATTTTGGACTATCAACATTCTTTAAGCCAGGTAAGAAAGTTATAAGCTCTCGCCTTTTGGATTCTTTATTTAGTTCCCAATTTTAGGTGCTAACTTTATTTACGCTTAGAGAAGACGTGGTTGCACCTGAATTAGAGATGTATGTTGTAGATAGCAGTTGAGTTACACTACTAACCGATAAATTTTATCACTTATGATTAACTAGGAACATAGTTCTCTTTCTGGGCAAAATCCCCTTAATATCGTAACACATCTACTTCATGAAAACCAGGGGAAACTTTCAATGAAGTTGTTGGAAGTCCTTATTATGTTGCTCCCGAAGTACTGCAAAAACGTTATAGTCAAAAGGCCGATATCTGGAGTGCAGGTGTAATAGTTTACATTCTTCTAAGCGGTGTGCCTCCATTTTGCGGAGGTGAGTGGATCCTTCTGCTCCTTTGAGATTAGAGCAACACCAAAGTTTTTAGTTTAATTCAGTTATCTACAAACTCTAGTTTCTTGAGATTTTCTTATCGACATTTGATGACACAGAATCAGAGGATGAAATATTTGATGAGGTCTTGCAAGCTAAGATCGAGTTCAAATTGGACCCTTGGCCACAGATCTCCGATAGTGCTAAAGATTTAGTAAGGCAAATGCTCGTAAGAGACCCAAGAAAGCGGTTAACTGCTCATGAAGTTCTCTGTAAGTTACTGCAATTTCATCAGTTTACTTTGTCAGCATGAAAAATATTCAGTGCAAAAGAAATCTTTAATTAGAAATTAATATTTTTCAAGGTCACTCAACTGGGCTATAAACCACACTAAAAGACTGAATCCAATGAATTAGTTAATAGCTAATGTAACCCATGACCTTATAAACTCATATGTTCTCTCTCATATTTTCAACGTGGGACTCTTAACAATCAGTAAGATATAGAAAAGTTTGGCTCCAGATTCTTTTGAAGATAGCACTTGCAGAGATATTGCTGAGTAAAAGCCCCATCTCTTTCACAGGTCATCCTTGGGTGCAAATTAATGGTGTGGCTCCTGATAATCCTCTTGGTTCGACGGTTTTAACTCGCTTAACACAGTTTTCTGCAATGAACAAGCTTAAGAAAATGGCTCTCAGAGTAAGTATTTGTTCTTTAGAAAGTAATGCTTGCTTTCTTGACTTCTAAGGCCTGCTGCTCTGGAGGCTTAGAATTTTCATAATGCTTCACATCTATGATTCGACACTGGACCGTTTGCTTGCTGATACCAAATTGAATGATGTGTTTTGTATATATTTTTTTACGAGTTAATCAACAATTTGGTCCCTCAATTATTAGCGAACTGTCAATTTGGGACCAAATCGATGAATAAGCGATTGAAGGACTACATTGACAGTTCGCTAATAATTGAGGGACCAAATCGTTCATTAACTCTCTTTTTTACTCCATATATTATATGCTCACCAACCATGATTACGAGTAGGCTCTCATTGACTTATTTTGTGTGCAGGTTATTGCAGAAAATATTCCGGAAGAGGAAATTGGAGGTTTAAAAGAAATGTTTAGAACAATAGACACAAATGACAGTGGCGATATAACATTTGAAGAACTGAAGGCTGGGCTGAAGAGATCTGGTGCTGATCTTAATGAGTCTCAGATACAGGACTTGATGAAGTCTGTAAGTATATTATTCATGAACACAACAGATATATACTCGTAAAACATATAAACGTGAGCATGAAATTATTTTTATGGATCTGAAATTGTGTAGACGGACGTAAGCAATAGTGGCAGTATCGACTACGTGGAGTTTGTAGCAGCAATGTTGAACTCGAACAAGATAGACTTGGAAGATCATTTGTACACAGCTTTTTCATACTTTGACAAAGATGGGAGTGGGTACATTACAGCAGACGAGATTCAGAGGGCATGTGATGACTTCGGTTTACAAGATGTCCACTTGGAAGAAATGATTCGGGAGGCTGATCAGAACGATGTAAGTAAACTAAATATATACTCTCACTATCCGCTTTCTATTCGTTTACCTTAATAAATGAACATAAATGAATGCTTATCAAATACGTACACAAATAGTTTATCGAAAATTCTGTTGGCTAACACCCCTAATTACATTTTGGTTGTCACTTGTTCATATATAGGACCACTGTTTGATGCATTTTTGTGCTCATTTCATTTATGATTTATGAGTTGAACTTGATTATGGTGAAATGGTTCAGGATGGGCTGATTGATTACAACGAGTTTGTGGCGATGATGCGTGGAAAGAAGCAATTGCCGGATAATTTCAACATCGCCACCGGCTATCGGCCGGAGGCAATGGAGGTTTGCTGACATCCTTTCTTCTTCTCTCTGCAAATCTTCCCATGATCTTGGAATGTATATACATAGATTTAGTAATGTGTGTGTCACGTTAAAAGAAAAGAAAAAAAATGTTAGATTAGGTCTTTTCCGAGTAAGAATTAAACTTTATTAACGTGACTTGAGTCAAATCCGAATTAATTTTATAGTAGTAGTGATATTGGATTCTTGCTTTGTGTAAGGAAAAAAAAAGGTGTTGTAGGTATAGACATTAGCTAATACCAGCAGCTTGGTAGAAACATATTTCGCTTACTAGTCTGAACTAAATTGTTACGAAGTATTTAGTACTTAATTCTTAGTTGTTATACCTCTAAAATATGCTTTTATTTTTGGCAAAATTTCTCAGGAGAGGATCCGTGAGATAGATCGGATTACTCATAAGTATTATAATTTTTATCATAAATATTACATTTTTTTATTTTCAATTCTTAATACTCTCATGATTAAATTTTGATTCGAAAGTATTACATTTTTATCAAAATATGATTTTTTTTCATAAGTAATACTGTAATAGTCAATCAATTTATCTCGGATTAATATTCTGTTTTTATCATAAGTAACTTTCAACACTTAAATATTATATTTTAATTTTAAAATATTATATTTTTCAAAAGAATTACATTTGTCTAATAAGTGACAATTAATTTATTCATAATTAATATTACATTTTTATATAGGCATGATTCGTTTTGCAGATAAAAGTTCATGAAATAATTTTACAGGAGAGTCATATTTTTATTTATTTTAGAAATAGTAATAGATAAACTTTCAATAAAACCATTACTATTATGGAAGGATCCAGGAGAGCCCTTGATTTCCAAAACAAAACAGAAGGAAACGAACGGGTAGATCATATCAGAGGTTGTCGGCGGCGGATGAAGAGTTTGTTACATGTGGGGGATGAAATATCAAATACTTTTTTTTTTGAAAGTTAAAAATGGCAGGGTAATAAAGCAGTTTTACACCATTAATAAGCAAATTATTAATATAACTAATTAATTATAAGTGATTTTTTTTTATACATTAAGTTTCTCTCAAACTAATTTCCTAAAGTCTTCCCCAACCTAAGAGCGTTAAAGAAGGTAAATCACGAGTCGTCCAATCAATTCTAAGTTTATGGTATATATATAAACTTAACTAGTATTTTTTACGACATGTTTGGTTGACATAATGAATTTTGAGTAAAATGCATTAACAAACAACAGAATATGCTTATTCTTGAGAACGTTATTGTATTCCAGACTTATTGCGTGAACCAAACGTGTTATTGTTGTACAAAGAAAGTTAATATCAGAAATTCAGAATCCCTTATAGGTGTTAGATGTATGCTACTTAACTATAAATAGTATCGGTAACCACAAGAGGTTATATTATAACGCCCTTTAAAAACAAATAAGAAGTGAAATTGACATTATTATTGAAAAGTCATTTGGTGAATGAAAATAAGATGTGAAATTGATATTATTAATGAAGCAAAGCCATTTGGTGAATGAAGATGCAAGCATTGAAAAAAAAAAAAATGTGATGCACATTTATTATTTTAAAAAATTATTTTGAATTTAATCTAGACAAATAAAGTTTTTTTAAGAGGGTACAACTTAATTTATCGATAAGAGAAATAAGGAGATCAATTAATCAAGTGGTCTCCTCATAAGAAAATTTTGCCCCCACTTGAGAAGGCATAATGCTATATTTTTTTTGAAAACCAAAAACTTCATATATTGCATTAACTTAACTCAGAAGGAATGAAAGATGGGAGGGAGTCCCTCCAGACTGAACGGGCATGAATCGCTCCTACATGTTTAGCTAAGGCATGAGCAACCAAGTTGGTGCCTCTGCGTACAAACTTAATAGAATGAGCTGAGAAAGAATTAAGTAAACGTGAACAGGAATCTAAAATAATGCCAAGATACGAACGATAAGAAGTGACGTCCCGAAAGCTATCCACGAGAACTGCGCAGTCTGTCAAGATAACAATATTGTGATAATTGTGGTCCTGTAGCCATGAGAGAGCCTCACGTATTGCCATAGCTTCGGCTAAAAGACGATCATATGGGCAAGAGAGTGGGCCATTTACCGCTGCAATAAAAACACCTCCCGGGCTACGCACATAGAAGCCGAATGTTGGGGCGTGTTGGGATCCATAGAACCCGGCGTCCGTAGAGCATAGTACGGCATTATGGGGGAGTGACGCGGCAGGTTCATGTTGCATGGCAGGCAGCAGTTCGGACGCTGGTGACGGCAGAGCAGTAATATGGCTCGGCAAGGGCGCAACACTGCCGTGGGCAGTAGACTTGGTCCAGGCGGACCAGGTGCGGTGAAATGAGACGCAAAGGTGTATTGGGGAAGGCAACGCGAGATTCCAAACCGCCATGTTCCGGCCCTCCATATTTCGTAGAGTATTCCACATATTTGATCTTTTAGAAAACCAGCAGATATTGCTGAATTCCCAAGCCAAAGCTCCACCCACTGCACAAAATCATGATCACCAAAGTTAGGGATTTGGAGTTGTGAAATATTCCACACACGTCTAGCATAAACACAATTGCATAAAATGTGCATAACATCCTCTTCAAGCACCCCACAAGCAGGGCACACATTCGGGATCTCCACTCTTCTTCTAACCAGGTTAGTAATTGTTGGCAAAATATTTGTGATAGCTCTCCAAAGAAATATTCTCCATTTGGGGGAACCTGTAATTTCCAAATGTTATTCCATATTGCATCACATGGGGCATTAATCTCCCCAAGCCGCCTGTAACCGTTCTTGACCGTATACATTCCCCTAATATCACCTGTCCAGTACCAATCATCTTTAAAATCCACACACACCGGGGTTTGTAAAATTAAGCCAGCATCCCTGGGAATAAAAATTTGCGATATTAATTCCTGATTCCAAATCCCCTGGTCATAATTTATCAAATCTGCCACCATCAAATCAGGATGTTGCGCGAGCTGATCTGAGTGAACGAAAGGGTCATGGGAATCAGGCAACCAGGGGTGGTCCCAGACTCTCGTCATTCTTCCGTTGCCAATTCTAAGCCTGCAACCACTTCGAACAAGGTCCTGGCGGGCCATAATGCTATATTAATTTATTTGAATCCAATATAGGATGAACCATTTATTTTAGCCACATACCATCCTATCAAATGGTGTCCATAATTAAAGGTAAAAAAAATGTTACAGTAGCCAGCGATGGTAAAATTAGAGTGGTTAAATCACTTTTACTAAATTAACTACCATTCTCATTTAAACAATCTTTCAAAAAAGTGGTTAAAACAATAAATTAAACTATAACTAGCTTACTGGCCCCTCAAATGCTGCTTAATAAAAATGTGTAATTTCTAAGGATACTTAATATCATATTAATTTATTTGGATGATTGGATCCAATTAGTATCATAGTATGTGCCATTGATGTAAGAGAATTATGAGATTAATAATTGAATGAAGAGAGAATGAAGAAGAATCCTATGCTTGAGGATTTGTGTAGTGACTAAAGAAGTGATAGTTTGAGAATTGTACATACATAAACATCACATCCCCCACAAGGCCTTGTTTGTCACTTTCAACAAGCCAATTGTACACGTGCTTGTAGTGGTGCTTCTTGTCTCCAATGCTACATGCCCCCCATACTTTTTTGTTTTTAATTTGGAAAATGTCGGAATCAAACGCTTATAATTAATAGCAAATATATAATTTTATTTTCTTATACTTACATAACTGTTAGTGTTATGTTTTGATGGAAGGATGCTAAACTCGACATTACAAACTTTCATCCCACAGAAAAGAACTTTCTTTAATTAGAATAATCATGTATTTGCACCTTTAATTTTGTGCTTAGTTTAATATTCAGTCATTTATTTGCTTAAGCTCATAATTATCCATTTATGCCTGCATCACATTAATCCATGATTACAAAACTTTAATCTCACATTATCATTTCTCACGTCAACACATAAAAGATACAAATTCATGATTTTTTTTATTTTTTTTTTTAAATTCTTTGTTCATTTCTTAGAAACTTCTACCATGACTCTTTCACTTCTACTCCGTATTATCTAATTTATCTCTTCCCTAGTCCTACTAAACCGGCCTATTCATTGTTATTGGATTTTTGTACTTTGGTGGAGTTGTGGTAATATCCTCTTTAGGGGAAAAGAAGAAGAAGAAGAAGAAAGAAAGAACGAAGGAACTAATTAATAATTAAGCTTTGTATTAGCTAGGTCTATGACATCCTCAATAGTGGAGATTTTGGTGTGAGTTTTTATCACTTTTTAGGTGCCAAGTAGGAGAGATGAAAAGGAAAGAGAAAAAGAAAACAAGTAAAAAAATAAAATGAAAAGAGGTTTTTAATGCAAGAAAAAAAGAATAACTAATTGTTATTTTTATCTTGCATTCGGACCACAAAATTCTCATTCTTTGCAGGAGGACCTCTAGCATTCTCTCACTTGCTTCTCTTTCATCCATGGTGGCAATTTTTTATTAAAAACTGTGAACAATCCTCCTAATAGGTTATTGAAGTGCACACAAAATTATAATTGAATCACTGAACTCAAAAAAAAAAAAAAAAATGCAATTAGCTAGGTCCCTATACTAACCAATTCAATATCATACGATTCTTCCAATTTTCAAGTTTTACAAGGGTTATCATCCGGTTACCATGCTAGTTGGCTGCCACATGGCATTTTTAATTACCTTGTCATGTCGCTTTCTTCTTCATTTCCGGCCTTCCTTTGTCTTGTCCATATCCATCCTTCGTTTTGCACTTTTAACACATGTTACTTGCACCAAAGTTCGAATTATTTACAAAAATGTCACCCCATCATTTAAAAAAAAAAAAAAAATTACATATGATCCGTTAGATCTAGGCAGGTGGACGATTGAGATTAGAAAAACACTGTGACTTCCAAGGAATAATATGAACAAGGGATGGATGGGCTGACAGACATTAGACATATATATATATATATATATATATATATATATATATATATATATATATATATATACTAGTAATTCACCCGCGCTATGCACGGGGAAAAAATTATGTTATTATAAATATAAATAAAAAATAGAAAAAATAAAAATATTTTAAATTGTTTAATATAATAATATTTTGAACTTCCATTGGTCAAGTATTCATTATTTTTATAGAATATAAAATTATAATTAAAATTTTGTATGATTAATATAATCTCTAATTATGTATATATTCAAATAAACTTAGAGAATTTACATAATTACATTGATTTATTCTTAATTGTATTTCATCTATATTATTATTTTTACAATACGAATAATAACTAAGATAATTACATTTAGAAAGCAAATTTCAAATTTTGTATGAGTAAATTTAAACTCTGATCTAATTGAACACATTTTTTTTATATGATTATATAATATATTCTTTATGCACATTGCATTTCATAAACTCAAATGTCATTTTATAAGTTCAAGACCACTTTTTGTGGAGATAATTCAAATGTATTTTTTTCTTTTAAAAGTCCTAAGTTTGGACATCCAGGAAAACATTAAAGACACATACCATATATACATTTATATATATTTAAATTTTTATTGGCTTAAATGATTTTTTTTATTCTGAAGTCCAATAATTGACCCACGGCCCGCAACATTTGCTTTCTTCATCCCTTCTTGCTTCTGTCATTTCTTTGAAGCATTTGAGAGGGAGAAAAATTATATGTAGAGGCTTGCATTAATTGCATTGTTTCAGATATCGAATAGGCTTTCATCAAAAATTTAATTAATATTGTAATCTCAAGAACCACCATAAATAACAAAAGCATATCAGATCAAATAGACTTTCATGCTAAAACCAGAGATTTAATTAATATTGCATCGTTTCATATTTTTTATTAATCGGGAATCGGAATCCTTAATCCTAATATCATAACATTTAATAACTCCATTAATTCAATAAATGTAATCCTTTGTTATGGGCGAGAAAAAAATAGCTATTTTATTTTTCAAATGTTGTGTTTTTTTTTTTATAGTAAAAGATGTTGTGGCTATTTTATATTTATAGCTAGTAATAATAATAATGTTGGTAATTAATTGTAACATTAATTACCTCTCAATCATATAGCTTTATTATATGTAAGATATATATATATATATATATATATATATATATATATATATATATATATATATATATATATATATATATATATGCATCCGTGTGTGGTGCATTTGTGCATTTCACCTTGGCGCATTTTTGAACATGTGGTGGTGCATGACCGCATGTTTCAGGGTTGTGCATTTTTATCGTGTATTTATACATTTCTCCTTGTGCATTTCTGAACATGTGATTAGGGGTGGGCTGGGCTTTGGTTCGGTATTTTTTTGGTTTTGGTTTTTCAGTTTTAAAAAAATCAAACTATTCGGATTAACATTAATGTTCGGTTCAGTTTAAGTGGAAGTTCACTGTTTGAACGTTTTCCTTTTCGCCCGATCGATTCTTTAGGTTGCTCACTTGGAATGCCACTTGAAATGTTTTGTTGATGACAAGACATCCATCTGTATAGTTAATATTTGAAAAAAAAAAATTATTAAAAGAATAACTTTCAAATATTTATAAAAATTTTCAACACATAACCGTTTAAAGAAACTGGAATGAAATCCCACAAATCAAAATTTAATTCCAGTTTGTTCACTAGAATGAAATCCTAGAAACTGGAATTTAGTTTAATAAGTACTGCTGGTAAGTATCGACACAAATGGTCTTATAGCTCCAAACTTGATGGTTAGAGGTTCGAACTTCACCTAGGACATCCACTCCATTTCTTGGTTTTTTAACAATTATATATATATAAACCGAAAACCCATATATATATAAACCGAATGGTTTTCGGTTCGGTTCCTCTAAAACCAATACCGATCGGTACTTCGGTTCGAATAAATCAAACCGTTTTGCCCAACCCTACACGTGTGGTGATGCATTTGTGCATACTTGTTGGTGCAATCCGCACGATCGCATGGAAACAGGGCGTCGTATCCGCATAGCCGCATGAAAACAAGGCACCGCAATCAGCACAGCCGCATGAAAATAGGGTGTCGCATTTGAACCAGTATATATATATATATATATATATATATATATATATATATATATATATATATATATATATATATATATATATGAACCAATCTTAACCCTTACATCTCGAAAAATTGGATGGATTAGGTAATATTTTATTTTAAAAAATACGGTGAAAATTTTTGTAATTATCACTAACTTTACTTGTAATTATCTACACTTCTCAAAATTTTTTAGGTTTGCACATTTAATAGTAACATATTGCACATTTATAGGGCGATTAGTTGGAAGGAATTTAAATTCCATTCCCACCTAATTCCAAAGGTCACTAAATTCCTTAGTTTGGTTGGAAGGAATTGCAATTCTCTCATTTTCATGGAATTATAATCTCATGTCTCTTTCTCTCTCTCCCCTCCCCCCTCCCCCCCCCCCCCCCCGGAGATTTTAATTCCATGAATTTTAGGAAGAAAAAAAAAAAAAAGATAATCATGAGACAAGATTTTTTTTTTATAATCATGAGACAAGATTTTAATTCCATGAATTTTAGGAAGAAAAAAAAAAAGATAATCATGAGACAAAATTACCCCTCCTTTTTTTTTTTAAACATAAAATTGATTTCTAACCTTCCCTTTTAGATGATAGCCGCGTATTATTCTTGGATCAACAGAGAGAACGTCGTTCCTGAGCAATAATCATTCTAGGTCAACCTTAATCAAGCATGTTTTCTCAAAACTCTTAAGTATTTAAATTTGATGTGTATATAGCATGGGTGGTGTGTTTATTTATAATAGCGAATGAATTTATGCAATAGTGAATGTCATTAGTTGTGTGTTTGTTAATTTTGATTATAATAGCAAATGAATCTATGTAATAGTGAATGAAAATTTGCATTGTTTATAATTTTATGTACAACAACTATAATTTGCATTATGAATGGCTTCAACAATAACAATGAGCATTTTGAACTTTATACTACTTATTCCCTCTTAATTCCCATAGGCAAATTATGATGTGCA